AACAATCTCTCCAACTGGGTCCAATGGTGGATCGAATTGGGGGGAGAGTTGTGAACCAAGTAAACGCGTTCTTTGTTAAGGAACTTGGGAAATACTTAATCCTCGGGTTTTCGTTGTTTGAAATATCTCCTGCTTCAATCAAGTATCTCGCCACGTGTTCGACAGTGGATTTTGTCGTGTCCCCTGAAAATTTAGTGAACTTAGGGACTTTACATCTAGGAGGTAAGTCTGTTTGTAACACATATTCTCACAGTGGGGATGTAAAGTTGGGCCTACGAAAGCCCATATTCATCCCATTTTGTGTCATGATTCTTTCGATCATGGCTGCCAGGTTATTTTCCAAACCCATATTCTGGTATTGGATGTGTTGAACTACTTCGTCAGCATTCTGGTTTCTGTTGACTATCCTCACCTCCGGGGCTATGACCCTAGGTTCTTCGACCCCGGGTTGCTCCAATCGTGCCCTAAGGTTTTCTTCGACAGGCTGCTGGACTTGGTTAATAGTGGTTTCTTCCTCTAAAGGTATACCTTGGTTTCCCCTTATTTGCGCCCTTTGGGGCTGTCGAATAGGTTGGGGTACCCCAAAGAAATCAGCCAGACGCGCCATTTGCGCTGTCATCTGCTGATTCGACTGGGTGGTATTTTGTATTAGAGGGTTCAACACCGTACTTAAAGTTTGTGCCAACATTTGAACCATATCGTGATTGCTTTCGTCCATTTGCTGCCTCAAGACTGCTGTCGAGGCATTTGTAAGGCCATGCGCTACTTGGGACGTTCCTCCTAAGAGTTGGGTCCTATTTCTGTTCGCCATACCAACTCCAGAACCTTGGAGTGGCGAAGAGGCACTCACTAAAGGGTCTGAAAAAGTGGACGCAGCGTTTGTCAGGCTAGCCAATTCAGAAGTTGGCATGCCATAGAGTGGTTCTCGATTTAGACCGCTTGTCGAAAATCCTGGGGGAACATAAGGCCTAGTTCCTGGGTTTCCCCTTGGTGGGGGAGTTCCCAAAGGCATTCTGGGGCCAGTGAACGGAGGTAATGGCCCCGTTTGTGTGACCGTTACTGCTGGTGTTGAACCAGCGGTTATCGCTTCACTTACGGTTGGGACAACCGTTGTTCCCACATTTGTTTGTGGGATTTCGCTATTGTTTGGCGGATTCGCCATCGCTTCTCTTCTTCTGGCAGTATTGGTATTGTTAGTGTATATTCTACCACTTCTCAATAACATGCAATACTTTCTCGAAAAAGATGATATTCTGTATAAATACGGTTAACCTTCAAAATCAACACAAGGTCCCACCAGGTGTGCCAATTTGTTTACCGTGGAAATTGGTAAACAACCGCTGATCCTCCAAAAGGTTACTTATTTGGTGACTCGCAGGATCGATCAGATTGATCCTAAGACATGGTTGATTTTTGGGGTTTTGACTAAGTTTAATGATGGTTAATGCCAGTAAAGTAAAGACACTTTATGTAAGTTGCATGAAGGAAAACTTGGTAGAATAAAAGAAAGCGTTAAATAAAGGCTTCGACTGGGAAAAGTAAATGAAAAGCAATAAAGTTCTGGAAAATAAATGACTTTGATTAATTTAAATGGTGTTTCACACATACATTCTCAACAATTCTTTCGCTCACACTGGGTACTTGAATCTAAATGAGTAACTTGTATATAATTGTGAACACACGCGAAAACTACGTGAACAACTAGTATTTATACTAAAATACATCTCAAGTAACCGTTGGGCAGTTACGCTGCTTCGAGATGACTCCACTTGGCATGCTCACAACATTCGACGCTCCAGATCTTGGCACGTTGCACTTGGTAACCGCTGGGAACCGTTTTCCCTCCAAACATTCGAATCTCAAACCGTTCCACTCTGAGCATCGAATACCTTTGTCGAGAAGCTCCTTCGACGTCGAAGGCAACACGATTCCTACTTAGAAGAAATTCTCTAAGTACCTTGCCACCTTCTGATGAGCATTTCGACAGAATTAGCTGGTCGAAACCATCCCTCATGATTAATGGTCTATATTAATAAAAACAAGGGTGTCGAATTTAGGAACCAACAAATTTCCCCCCAAGAATGCCTTATTTCGACGCTGAAAAGAAAAAGGCATTCTTTGAGATTCTACTCGACACCTGTCCTTCATTCTTAGCCACAGATTAACTTGTGCGCTTTTCGTCTTCTACCAAAGACCGGTCAGTCCAACCACCGGAGTCGGTGGTTTCCATTGTCCTCTCCAGTGGGTCACCTGAAAATATTAGCCAAACTGAAAATCAAATGATGCCAACTGCCTTAAAAAGATCCCCTGATCACGATTTTGGCCTCTAAATTAACTAATTCCTTACGCATCACTAGATTCGAACTTGGAACCCTAACCACGGTCAACAATGGCATAACGTGATCCTGGGCATTAGCTTCGCATGTGATACGTTCAAACACACATAAACATCAGTAGAAACACATGTGTATGATCAATATAAATTTACATTAAGTATTGCGCGAGTTTGAAGTCAAAGAAGTCTTTACCAATGGTGAAGCACGAATCTGTTGATTTGAGGATGCTAGAGGCTTTGCAAATGGTCTGGTTTCACTCCTGGGAATCTCAGCAAGATGATGGAGCGATTGGAATCGAGGGAAAGAGGCTGACCAAGGTGTTTGAAGATTGCACACTTCTTTGAAATTTTTGGAATCTTCTTTCTCCCTTGAGGACGGCTGCGTGTGTTCTCTCTCTTTCTTTAGGGTTTGAATCCTTTATTTATATGTGAGGCCACCAATAGGTTAACATTCTTGGAGCAAATCCAAAGAGATATGGAATTTTTAATTTTGCTTCAAATCTCTTTATTTTCAAATATTTCCTTCCTTTTCATAGCATGGCACGATTTGCTTGTCTATTTTCAGCATATTTGATCCATCATTCAATGCAAAAATCATATCAAAGCAAATCTATATTATTCATTTAATTTAATTTTTTTTATTGAAACCAAAATAAATCAAATAAATAAGAAAATAATGCATGGATGGTTTTTATGGGTCGTGGACCACATTATAATTGAGGTGCAAGCATAAAAAGTTGGGCCTATTTAGCAAAAAAATGCAAATTTGAACACATTTGACTTTTGGCAATTTTGCAAAAATGGTCAACTTGGCCAATGCATAACTCTCTCAATTTTGACCCTAGAGAGGCGTTCTTGGACTTTTTAGAAATCTTAGGATGTCCCCTAAGTAACCCTTTTGGTCTCATCTCAATTGAGTCTTCCATGTTCATGTATGAAGCTTTGATCCAAAAGGTGTTTTTGTTGACTTTTCAAAATGACCTATAATGTCAAAATTCATATCTTTTTGTGAGTGCATATTTTGAACTTGAGAGCTGAAGATGAATTGTATAGAATTGCATCCTATTCAAAATGAGCTTTGAATGGGTCATTTATGATAAAGTATGAGAAAGTTATGCTTGGTCAAAGTTGAGTTGACTTTTCCTACAAAACCCTAATTTAGCAACTTTTGGATTTTGATGAATTGTGAGCAATCCTTGAGGAATCATGATAAAACCTTGATCAAATGATGGATGATACTTCAAAATGAGGATGTTGACCAAAAATCTTGAAGTTTGACTGTACGTGGGCCACAATTGACTTTTGACCTAGCACAGTTGATTTTCAGGCATTTGAGCAATTGATTGAGTAAACTTCCTCTACAAGGCTTGAAACTTGACATGGATGATCTTGAGAACATATTAGGACAATTGTGAGCACTTGAGTCCTCTGTGGTTCACACATCTTGATGGAAATAGAAACCCTAATTTGAGATAGTCTGCCTTAGGAGAGAGTTTGTCTGATCAACTCTTGAACTTCCTTGAGCAATTTGGGGACCTCACTTGACATTTGTTGAGAAATATGGGAGGGAAAATTTTGGGGTACAACACACTACCTTCAAAAATACAATCTTCAAAAGTTGTATCACCTTCAAAAGCTCTGCCTTCAGAAGTTCCACTTTCAGAATCATGACCACAGTCAAAGGTTGGATTACCTTTAGAAACTCCTCCTTCAGAAGGTCCACCTTCAGAGACATGATTTCCACCAGAAACATTATCACAAAGTAAATTATCACGTAGGCACTAACAAAATATTTAATAACTAAATTATCAAAACAACTAGAAATACTAAAATACTCTTTAATAATACGCACACAGAAAACCAAAATTTTTGGAAAGATTTACTTCTTCCCCTCTAAAAATTATGTTTAACTTTTAGATTTGGAAACTATGATTTCATTAGGAACCATTAAATTCATTTTTGCTTTTCATTTTTCATTTCTAATTTAATCTAGGAAAATTTAATTTTATTAGGTTTTAATTATTTGGGGACAATTCACCCTGAGTTATATCATTCCCAAATAAATAATAATTATTAGATTTTTTATTTTCACCTGAACCGTTAATTTTTGCATTTTCTTCAATTTCAATTTTTAATAAAATAATGTTTTTTAATCCAATTTTAAGAATTTTAATTTTAATTTTATTAAATTTAAAATTATTTTAATTTAATTCAATAAATATAATAAAAGAAAAATATATGTAAATTGAGAATGTCGAAGTGATCATATCCACGTCGTCAGCTATTAAAAACATTTATACATAAATATTTTATAGACCAAAAATGAAGAAGATTAAAAATATGAAAATAAAATAGGAGGATTAATTTCGTAAATGAGCCGTAATAGAATCAAATTTTTTATAAGAAATGTTGACAAATTTTATTACCTCTCCACCAAATATTTCTAAGTTCCCCATTGACACTCTGCTAAAAATTACTAAAATACAATATACTAGTGCATGTTTCGGTTTCGATTAAATTTATGGTATATTTTATTTATCCAAAGTAAAATATTTAACAACAATCTCTATATTGGTTCATCACTTATTTCTTATTCATGTTTTGCATTATTCCAACCATCTCAATATTAATTCATAACTTTTGTAAAATGCATATCTGAAGGAAATTAATCTCTAACACCACCTATAGCTGCACAATGCAGTGCGGAACGTAATTTTTTGAAACTAAATGATTTCCAAGTACCATTTCTTCCTTTTGATTGTGCTTCTTCTGTCTTTGTTGATGATGCTTGATTTTCAGATAGCACAAACTTTCTTGTTCTAAAAGTTCCTATGGATTCAGATGGACCTAGAGCTGTTCCCAAGACAAATAAAAATAATCCTTTAAACAGTTATATTTCAACATATAAAAAATTAAAAACCATACAGTTAGAATGTGTGAATCTAACTAACTTCTAGACTATTTGAGAATTAAAAAAATCAATTTGATTGAAAGGAAACAATTATATAAAATTATTGTGTAACATGTTTTTTGAAAGTCAAAATATATTATTTTGTATATGTTTTGAGATTTACTTTCACTATAGTAAAATATTACCACAAAAAGAAAATTAAAATATCAAATGTATTTGATCTAAAATTTGGACCAAACACATTTAACAAAAATTAAATGTAAAGTTATTCATACTTTTTTACAAGTTAAAAACATGTTAAGAAAAAAAAGGAATGATGATTGCCAAATCCTAACCCATTAAAGAAGAAAAAGAAGAATATATTCATTTCTCTAGTTATTTAATGGAAGAAAAGTAAACATCTAGAATAAATATTAACTTAATTTCTTTGTGAATACAAATCAATTTATAGATAAACAACCCTTTTAGGTAAAAGTTTGAGATGGAACACGGATAAACAACCCTTTTAAGAGTATGCACTAAGCTATTTAAAAGTTTAATTTTATTTTCTTCATTTTTTATTTATTTATGATTGCAATTTACTCTATTTAAAATAAAATATAAATAAATAAAATAAAATATCACATATTTTAAAAAGTTAAATTTTCTTCTCTTCATTTTTTATTGATTTATTTTTACAATTTACTCTCTTTATAATAAAATATAAAAAATCAAAATAAAATATCAAATGTATTTTGTATAAATTTTGAACAAATACATTTAAAAAAATTATATATATGCTTGTGAACACTTATGTGAATGAAAATGCTTTTTAAATAACTTAGAAAAACTTTTCTCTTAAATCAAAATGTTGATATAAGAAAGAAAAAACATATAATAGACTAAATTACTCATGCATAATTTAGCATAGAAAAACTGCATCAAAACAAATACAGTAAATAACAACTACAAACATAAGAAGAAACATGAAAATTGGAAAGAAAAAAAACATGAGATTAGAGTAAAATATTCAATAATTGTCTCAAAAAGGTAATTATTATATAAAAATTCTTACCATCAGAGGTATCATTTGAGCAATGTAGAACATAGTCAAATGTATTAGATTTCAAAGTAGGTAATCTTCCTTGACGTGCATAAGATTTGAGAGCTTTGTCAATAACATCACAAACAACATCATCCTCATTAACCAGAATTGTTAATAATCCAGAACTACCAACAATGTTGATTGATATCAAAATCCTATTGGTATTGCTGATGTTATTCATCTTCTTCTTCTTCTTAATTTTCACCTCATCATCAACACTCCAGCTTTTGCTATTGTACAATACCACTTTCTCTAACTTTCGTAATTTCTTAGTCATATCTCGGTGTTTCTTGCTTGACCCAACAAAAATAAAAATCATGTTTTGAATATGTGATTTTCACTTAACTTTTATTTTATGTGGTATAAATAAAAAGAAGAGAAAAAGAATCATGTATTGTGATTCTTTCTTTTATAATTAATGTTTGAAATATTTCAAATATAATAATTTTAAATTAATATAATAAAAAATAAAGTTTATTGGATACGAATATTTAATAATAAAATAAGTTAAAGTGATTTATATTGTTGAAAAAATTAATAGAGAATCCATTTTAATTAAATTGTAGGGTAAAATAGTAATTATCAATTTTTTAAATAAGCCTTATATATTAAGAAATGTTTTTTCAATTTTTAATAAATAATTAAAAATCAATTTATTATTAAATTACATATATTATAACAAGAATATACATGTTCGCATATAAAAATAATTTATATTTTATTTTTAAATATAAATTTAATATAATTTTTATAATAAATACATTTGATATTTTTATTTTTATTTTACACAACAGAGAGCAAACTGTAAAAAAAAACAAAAAAATATGAAGAAATTTTTTTTTAAATAAACTATAAATATTTACATAAAACCAAAAATAAGTAAAGATTACTACAGCTCTATTTTTCTAAGAACTCAGAGTGCTAAAACCAAAAAAAAAAAAAAAAAAATTATCGATGAAGAAAACAAATATTTCGAAATGGATATCTATGCTTTATTTTAACTACTATTATAAGTTTCATTGCATTCCGTGTGCATTTAATTTTCGAGGATGAAAAAATTGATAAAATTAATGTTTTTGCACCTTAATAGAAGAAAAAACAATACATTTTAAATTGGACCAAAATTTAAAGTTAGCAAAGAACTCAAAAACCATCAATCCATCTGAATTTAGCGTAAACTATAAAAAAAAGAATACCTTTTTTGGTTAAATTAAAAAATGAAATTTATATCTTTTTCTTTCATTTTATGGCTAAATTAGTAAGAAGGTTATATTATCGCACGAGTTTCGTCGTGATTCATATTACACATTTATCAAATTATTCATTGTAAAGTTTGAATTCATTATTTAATTAAGTAATATTCATTTAATCTAAATATAAGTTAATAATATGCATTAATTTTTAAACATTAATCTACTCTTATAATAAACATTACAGTCGATTCTCTAATTTTAATTATATAAAACAATAACAAAAATATTTAAAAAATGAACATTAATTATTAAATTGAGAAATAAAATAAAAAATAAATAAAAATTATATTAATATATTTGATCAAGAGTATTAAGTCTTTAACTTATTCCCGTTTATAAATATAATAGTATCCACAATAAAGTTTTTTTCATTTATAATTTTTTTTTTTTAACTTATTCCCATTTATAACTATAGTTAATTAATTATATATTTTCTTATTGCACTAAATCCAGTTATCTCTATAATTTGTCACAACAGTAGCACCAAAAATATAGATACATACATATATAGTGTGTCACATGACTCATTTGTGAACTTGGTACAAAATATATTTACATTCATTTACTTAGAAGAATGTTGAGATAGTGCAAAACAAATGTAGCTGATATAAAACTATACATTGATTCTAATTTAATGAGATCCAAATTCTATATATGTAAACAAAGAAGACTTTGCCAAAATTTAAAATAAAAAAAAATCAACATCTTCTCCCAATTCATCCTACAAAACAAAAAAGAAATTCACCATAAAATAATTGTTAATCTATTAATCATATACATAATTTTAACTCGCAAACACATAAATGATAACAATGTCAAATCCATTCTTGTTTCATAAGGTTGTTCAATAAAACGTATTTTCTAACACTCTGATTCATCACCATCACAATCATATTCATTGGATTCAAAACAAATGCATATTACAATAAAAGCATGATTATTGGTGTTCTTTGAGAGTTTCTACACATTTATTAAAGAAATTGTGTCAATAATAAATGGATATTTCACTTGTTTTCATGTTCCTGAACTAAAACACGTCATCATACTAAAACACGCTTCTACACTCCAATTAAGCGGGTCATGATAATAAATTAATAAATAAAATTGTAAGAATGTAGTTGATTTGTTTTAAATGTGGGACCTATTTTAAATTTTTTGATGAGTTACATGGATATTTGAAAATTGTAGATGAGTTGTTTAAAAAATTGAGAAGTGTGAAATAATATAAAAAATTATGTGGGTCTCATTTAAAGAACTCAAATGGATATAATGGATGTGGATGCTCTAACATGAATCTGGATCAAATAAAAGGAACTTTCGACATTATCGAGGAATTATAGAAAATGAGAAAACATTTATTTTAGATAAGGAATTGATTTATCTCAAAATAAATAATAAAATAGACATAGAAAAGTAAACTTAACTTTGATTAAAAAAAGTAAAAAATATTTTTTATTAATCATATACTCATTTAACATATATTCATTTTTGAATTTAATAATTGATTATGTCACAACAAATTAATCAACTTATATATAAAAATTTTCCATCTTAAAAATATTCAAATATAACAGTACTATATCAAATATAACAGTATTACATCTTCAATAACCTGCTTCCATTCATCAATGGGTTGTAGAGGGGATCTATGGTCAACAAAAATTTAAGTTTTCTATTAATTGAAAAAATGATTGAATGTGGCTAACAAAATAGTAATAACAATATATTTTAAATAATTTAGAAGAGAATAAAAATCAGAAATAGGTTATCTTACATGTAACACAAACAGACTCATATAATTCAATCTAAACAGTTTATTTTTTAAGTGTTACTTGAGAATATTCTTTTGTATATGATACTCGTATAATTTCTCTAAAACATCATCTTTGACATCAATAATTCGTATAATATGTGTTGCAAAGAACAAAATAATTCGTATAATATGTGTTGCAAAGAACAAAAATTATATACTCTATATCAGTGAAACTCACATTATAATATATCGTCGCATGATCTAAACTGCTATAATTTATAAGTGATTTCTGTATAGCACATACGAAAGAGAGAAAATTGCAACTGTTAAATATTGTAATTGTTAGAATTTTTTTTGAATAACCATGTATTAAAAAAATAATCGCAAATAACCGTATTTCGGAAAAAATTACGCAAATAACCATGTTTCAGATGACTCTCCAAAGGAGGAACCATCTGAATTGGCGCCTACTCCCATAGTTTAAGGGGAGACGCCATCTCACTTGGCGCCTATGTGCTTAGGACATGCCCTAAGCCAAGTGAGATGGCGCCTAGGTGTTAATTTAGGGCAAAAATAGAATATTTTTTTGTCCGGTGCGTTGCGTGTTGGATACAGGATCAACAAAATGGACTTTTTATTATAAAAAAAATAATTACATCCAACTGTATTACATTAAAAAAACAGATAAAAAAAACAGATAAAAAAAATAGAAAAAAAAAATAGATAAATCAGTGATCCCCCGGAACCCGGTAATGACCCCGGTTCCGCATCCCCGTCCTCGTCTTTCCCGTGCTGGGTGTCGTCGCGTTTCCTGCTACGGCAGGGTCGATGGCCCAGCGAAATCAATGCGGTCCGGATCCATAAAATCAGTCAGATCTCCATATCTAGAAGATCCGCTTTGGTATAGTCGGTTACCCATACCCTCAAAGTTTGGTCGTGTTGGCGGTGGGTGGGGTTCCATGTTGGGTCTGTAGCATTGATCGTCTGAGTACGGTGGGTAGAAAGGAAATGGATCTTGGGGTGTTTGGTATTGAGGATGTTAGGTGGTTTGGTGATATTGTGGTTGATGGTAGGCTGGGTCAGTTTGTTCGTAATCTTCCGACATTCCCATATCAGGGCTAAGGCTAGATATTGAGGGGCCCATATTGGGATATACGGAAGACTGAAATTGTGTGTGGGGTATGCGGGTGTGTTGATATTGTGATTGGTATTGTGGTTAGGTGTGAGGCATATTGGGGTATTGGTAGTGAGGTGGTGATTGTGGTTGGTTGTGTGGCATTTGAGTGTAATTGTGTTGTGGTGGGGACTGTGGTTGGGTGTTTGTGGGTCTGTTTCTTCTTGGGCGTTGGTGGGAGGTTGATGGGTTTTGGGTTTGTTGTTGGGGAAACGAGGGTTGTGCCCATTGTGTGCGTGGGTCAACCAAGTACCTTGGATGAGACACATGCATTTCAGGGTTACTAATCGACCTGTACCAAGATAAATATTGATTCGTGTGTCGCATATTACCATGATTAAGGAATACCGGGAATTGCAAGACATAGCGGTGACGCCTCTGCCACATCTTACACCATTCCGGAGCGAAGTCTTTCCAGTTGGTAAGACCCCACTGGGCGTCGACCCTTTTAAGATGCCATGGGGACAAACAAGTTAGATCACTTGGTATCTCTTGATGCATTCCGAACTGCATCTTCACACGGTCGCTGTGGTGCATCTCTACAATGTTGAATCGAATGATTGCAGTCTTCGCGGTCCAAATTGCTACATCCTCCGGGTTTGGATCATAGCCCAAACCCAAATATGGTCTCCAGACGAACTGCGATAAAATTTAAATCGGGTTAACGAAAGCGTAATGTATAAATAATTTAAATGAAGAAAAGTTTAAAGCTACGACGTACATCATCCGGGCCTAAGTGATCCAACAGATTGCGGTATAGTGCGACATTAAATCTTGGATTCTTGCCGTAATCCATACCCCTCACGCAGTACCTAAAGGAAATGAAAAACATTTTATTCTTAGCATATATTTGGTGAAGAGATGAATAATAATAAATGATATAACTTGATGACTTACTTTGTTGCGTACGGGAAACCGAAAGTGTTGTTGTTGATGGGGTTTAAGGACTCCATCCTCCACCAACCCCAGGCTTGTAGTAAAAAAGCTCACCCATAAAATGTACATTTTTTCTTGACTGCATTTTTGCACAAGGAACTGTATAGGTGGGCTAAAACTGCAGAACCCCAACTATATTTTCTTGTTTTTTCAAAATTTCT